ACGCGAAAATGTTTCAGACCATAGTTATAGGGCTTCAAGGGGGGAAAGTAATGAGAAGCATATTTTGAGCATTACTATTTATGTTTCTATGCTACAAGTATAAGTTCATTTTTTTTAATGGGACCAACAAGTTTCGTCTTACAAAAGTTGTTGTACTCGGCGAGACGAATACAATGGTATCACACATGAAGTATTTTTTTATGTTCTTGGGCGAATATTACAAAAAATTGAGAACAATGAAACAAAAATCCCAACGCGTGTGTGTGTCTGCGATTTCAATCCCCGAATAATGCATGATCACACACTCACTCTGTACTGAATGATACTGATGAATTTACGCTATCTGAAAAGGCTCATTATTTCACAACCAAGACAATAATAATCCTTTGTTGACAAAAACATTCTAAACTCATTCAACTTTCTTTACCTAGGCGGACTTTCAAATCAAAATGGGCCGATTAATGCCCGATTTGATAGATCATGGTACAATTTAATCATTTTTTTGGAATATTAGCTCGAAAACATGAAAAAATACTTCATGTATGATACTGTTGTATTCGTCTCACCAAGTCCAACAACTTTTGTAAGACAAATATTATTGATCCCATTTAAAAGAAATAACCTTATACTTGTAGCATAGAAGCATAAATACTTATGCTTAAAATACGTTTCTCATTACTTTTCCCCCTTGAAGCCCTATAACTTTGGTCTGAAATATTTTCGAGTTTAACGACTTTATAGCTAGTTATTTAGCCGTACAAATCATCTTGGGACACAATGTATATTACATAGAAGCTAATCAATTGTGTTGAGCCTTCTTTCCAGATCGTGTATGCCAGGCAAGTAGGTAAATAGTTACGGTAAAAAATGAATCATTCAACAGAAGGTTGTTTCAACCCTGTGTATTCTCTACCCCCGGGACTTTTGTGACAATGTCGCCCTAAACCCCAAACTGCGCCCTAAAAGCCATATAATTCCCATCACCATGAGCACCACTAAACCCCGCTATTCCCTTCCCTCACCCATCAATCTGAGGACAGTAGCTAGCCTGACAACGAGAAAGAACCTGCGTCACCCGACCACCCTAGAACCTCGCCCCTGGAAATTGCACATAAGAAAGTGCACGGAAGAAAGAGCCCCCCAAGAGGATTCACTTGAGCCGAGACTGAGGCTTTAGATGCACCCTGGACAAATGCAGGGTTGTGCACCGAAGGAATTAGCCCGAAAGTAACAGGGATTTCGCGGAGAAGAACGAGGAGGAGGAAGAGCGCGTATGAGGACACAATTGTTCCGAAAGTCCCGGCAGCAACACGTGCTCCATTTTTCGTAATCCGAGAAGTCCCAATATAAGGTGTCCTGTGTGAGAGAACAATGACAGAAGCACCCCAAAGCTCATCCCCTGGAGGCTCGAGCTGAAAAGGAGGCTCATCCGTGATTGGAGGATCAATCAGGAGAAATTTTGACCCTGTGGAGAATTGGACGGTGACCGCGTGTGAGTGCCTGTTGCATTTTTCCTCCCTGTTCTGTTTAATAATTTTCCCATCTATTTTGCAAACCACCCCTCCCCCCCCCGGTCCGCCACAAACTTCCTTTTGTTCCCGATGTATTTTTCTTTTATAACAAATTATTGTAGGCCGATAGGCCAATAAACTCTCAAATTCAACCACTGGTAGTACCTCTATTCCCCTTTGTCTTATCAGAATCACCCTATTGTGTGTACGCTCTGTAGCCTGGCCTCCCCGACCCTCTCAGCACCAATCTGTCAGTCGACACGAAAGGCCTTTTATTAATTGTGACAGATAGTATATGAGTATTTAATCGAAATATATGTGAATACTTAATTAATCCCCTTAATTGCTGCATTGAGTTTATTCATTGGATTATTTCCCTCCAATAAAATAAACTGCAAGGTTACAAGGTATAATCGATCTAGTTATACAGGGCGTCTCATTTGAAATAAAGCAGCCAAATATCTCCTAAGGCGGGCAAGTAGCAAAAAAAAGTTCGAAGCACAATTTATAAGGTTCCGAGCGGGACATTCGATGCATGCATAATTTTGAGCTTTCAGGATTATGTTTGCAAGCTGCAATCACAAAGTACTTTTTTGCTTTGATTTCCGAATGGAAGCATTGTAATCGTTCAAAAAAAAGTTTTCGATTTTTTGTGTTATATCGACTTATCATGATCCAGAAAGTCCGAAAATGCAATTTTTAGACGTCGTCCGTACGTATGTGTGTATGTGTATATGTATGTATGAAATTTTTTCAAACTTTTTCTCCAATTTCTCGCTAATGAATCGATGGAATTGAATCTTTTTTTTTAGTGTAGGTATTGTTGAATCCTATCCATCGCCGTTAATCAAATTAAATTAATTTATTCATTTTTTTAATTTTTTAATTTTTTCAAAAATCGGCTGTAACACGATAACTATAATAGAAAAAAATGTTTTAAATTTATTGAAAGATGGCTGAAAAAATTTGTTTGTATGTTCTTGTGACCGAGTTCGACGATAAAGGGGATATCCATAATCGTTCTTTTGATTTATCTGAAAGTTTGAAATAAAATTGTATTTTTTCAAAATCAGAATTCCGGGGATATCTTCAAATATTATGCTCCAAATGAATTCAATCATAGCTTAAAATGTTCGTTTCAATCCTATTATATGGCAGTTAAAAGATGATGACAATCGTTATCTCGGTTGATCTGATTTTATGATGATTTTGGAAAATTTCTAATTTTTCATAAATTTCCCTGAAAGTGAGCTTTCTGATGGGTTTTCTCACATGTGGTGTTTAAAATTCATTCAATTATGTACAAATGAAATTGTTCTGATAACATTTCATCGAAATTTAAAAATCAAATAGATTGCATCATTCTTTCATTTGATTAATAATCGTATTTTCGAAATTATTCTAACAGCATTCGAAAGTATTCGAAAAAAATTTCCCTTCTCTCTCAGATTTCCATGATTTCTCTCCCCGTCTCCCCCAGCTCCCGTATCGATTTTCCAAGAAAAATCTTGCGAGACTCTCCATAGTAAAACGATCGAGTGTCGACTTCAAAATAACCATTCGGAAGCATATTGCTAATTTATTAGCAAAAATAACTATACTATATGCAATAAAAAAGCAATTTCCCACTTGTTTAAAATGGCAATCACCTTCTTCACCTCAATGAAACTTATTCTTCTTGATGAGTTGTTTTCAGATTCCTCATCATTCCCGCAATTTTCTTCAATTTTACTCGAAAAATGCCACAAAAACGTGTGGTGCGGTATTGTTGATAGACAAGTGATAGGCCCATACTTTTTCGATGGTACTGTCACCGGACATAATTACCTGGAATTCGTGGGTAATCAGCTGCCAGTTCTAATGGAGAACGTGAACTTGCAGACAAGACAGAGCATGTGGTTTCAGCAGGAGGTGCTCCACCGTACTTCGATCGAGCTGTAAGAGATTACTTGAATGGTTCCTCCCGAAACGTTGGATTGGCTGGAGTTGGTTACATTTTGTGACCTCCACGATCACTGGATCTTATGCCACTCGACTCCTACCTGTGGGACTTCGTCAAGGATGCTGTTTTCACGAATCGACCGACCACACCAGTGGATTTACAGAGACGTATCAGGGAGGCAATTGCAAGCATTACTCCACAAGTTCTTCCAAGGGTTGTTGAAAATTTCCGCCCTCGAATTGAGTTGTACCTGCAAGTTAACGGTGGGAACTTTGACCATCTATAAACGCTCATGAACTTCCACACAATTTCGCGCTATTTTTGTTTTTTTTTTCAGCGCAAGGGATGCGAAACCGACTTTACCTCGACGTGGTGCATCCTGGGTTACGCTAAAAAAGTCTGAATCGTTAATTTGACAACTGAACTCGTTTTCGTGGCATTTTTCGAGTAAACTTGAAGGAAATCACGTAAATGATGAGGTATCTGATAGCGACTCATCAAGAAGAACAAGTTTCAATGGGGTGAAAAATGCGGTTGCGATTTAACAAAAGGTACTTTGTGGTTGCAGCGTGGAAGGATAATCCTGAAAGCTTAAAATAATGCATGCATCGAACGTAGCTTTCGAAACCCTACAACATGAGTTTCGAACATTTTTTTGTTACTTGCCCGCCGTAGGAGATATTTGGCTGTTTTGTTTCAGATGGGGCACCCTGTATACATAGAGGGTGAGTGTGCACCTGAGTGAGAATGTATACTAAGTTCGGCGACTCACCTAGTGCCTAGCAGATGGCAGCATATTTTACGCTTTGTCGGTAACTGTAAGGACACACACTGAAGCGGGAAAAGAAAACTCAATCGATGCAAGAAAATGTATTCAATATTTATGCTGACATAAGATTCAAGTAGTGCCCCCTTCTCCCATGTCAGCATTCATCAGAATTTCTGAAGCTCCCCCCCCCCAACCATGCTTACGTACAACGTGAACGACCCCTTACTCCGGCGGACAATGTTGTAACAGATTTGCTTGACGTGGATATGGAGTTGATGACGTTTGATGTTTTTGGTGGTTATTTTCATGGCTTCAGGACGTTGTTACTCGTTTCCTAGGCCTGATGATGATTGTGAAGTGATCTAGGACTCCTCGTTGATGCTTTCCATTCCTCTCATTAATTCAAAGCTATCTCGGTGTATACGAACGATATCAGTTTTCAATTATTTCTTTTCCCCACACATCCAATTGAAGACTTGAACGAACTCACTTCGTTACAACAGAATATTGAATTGTGCACCAAGGGAGAAAAACAGGACATTCCAACTTGCGTGTGGTAAACAATCTGCAATTTCGGGAGAAATATAGCCTGAGATTCATTCAGGGATCATATGATCAAGACATGTCGTCGAAGATGAACATCTGGAATGAAACCATTAAAACTTCACCCCTCCCCCCACAAGTATCAATAAATAAAAACTGGTGTGTAACGGCCAAAGTATTTTTAATAAAAAAAATGTTGTACAGCGAGAAATATCATTCATGGTACACAATTTTTATATCAAACGTATTTAAAATGCATCAATCAATCTAACACCCCACAATTTCGATCCAAACATCTTTGGCATTTCATTGGCTTGTCTCTCTTACTACAGTTTTTAAGACGAGAAATACGACTTTATAAATTCAGCTAATCACATGCTCATCATGCAGCATAATTAGACTCAATTTTTTTCTTAGTTCAGTGGAAACAAATAATAGTTATTTAAATTCAGTAGTTCACTAAATTACAATTGTTATTAAGTACATGCACTCCAGATGGCGGCGTTTTACGCACAATCAGTCTCCACTGCTTATCGTTTTCATTACATTTTTTTTCAACCATTACATTGACAATCTATTGCAGCCTCCAGAAGTATGTGGCAGTTTTTGTTAAGTATTTTATTTTAAAGTAGTACAAGACTTTGAGTTGATTAACTTCTTGAGTTTCTTATCTCCATGGCACAGGGTGTAAATTAGGATTTCTATAATGGATGTCAGTGAAATAAGAGAACATACACCCTCGAAGAGTCTTTTTGGTATCGTTAACCCTATTCTGGGCTTTCAATTATATATTTTCATCATCTGTGTTATTTACGGACTTATTGAACAATTATTTTGACAATTCTTCGATTCTCTATGCGAAAAATTTCTTGCATCATTGATCAATGAGTTAAAAACCCGTCAAATTTTTGGAATTTATTAACAATAATTAATTGCACTCACTCAACACATATGTACAACTGACTTACATAATCGAGGCGAGGAGCGATTTTGTTGATGAATTATTAAATTTTTTTGATGTAATAATTTATTTCAATGATTTAATTGTAAAAAACCAGGCGAAGATCGAATGGATGATTCCAACCGATTGTATACGTTTTTTTTATGTTTGGTAAAGAAATATAAATTCGATTTATTCGGCATTTTCGGGCTTCCCTCGTCCCGCGAAGATTACGTGGCCATCTCGAAACTCTTTCCATATGTAGCTCCATCATACATGTATCGAAAACTCCTGTCTCTCCTGTTCCTTTCGCTGCTGATACCTAAAATTCATGAACTCCATCACTCAAATAATGATTATCGATTTGCGCTGGCGTTTTTCGCTGATATTACCTAGCGAGCATAGTTTCTACAGCCTCAATTGGCAATCTGCCAAGACTACCACCATGCCGGGTTGCAATGGAAAGCCCCTGCCAATCACGATCACGATCGCATTCCGCCTCACTCAATTCACGGCTGTCGCTGAAACCACTCGGTGGCATCAACATCATATCCTCCACCGAACTTTATGCCAAAATTTAATTTAAGGCCTCAAATTAATGGAAGGTAGGATAGAGATAGGAATATTCGACAGTTCTTAAAATGCTGTTGAAAATTTGAAGAGATGATCGATACAAAAATATTGTGAACTAAATCAGTATCGTTGATGGATGAGTTATTGACACTGATTGCCAGTATGTATTCAACACTTTCAGTTTTCAACGGATAATGAAGATCAACTTCATGGATATTCTAGCCAAATTATCTAAAACACAGGTTTTTAAGTGGTAACTATAACCATTATATTCCAGTCGAGCCGTTGATTGTAACGAGAAACGAAATTAAAAATCACAAAATATTGATTGTTTATCATATGAATTCTAGCTGTGGTGAGTCTAAGGACTAAAGTCATTAAAATCGTCGTTGAATTATTTTCTCAAACAAGAGTCACTCATTTGTGATGAATGATAAAATTCAACAATGGTTGATTTGATGATTTAAAAAAATTTTCAATAGCAAAATTGAGGAGAATATATTTATAATGAATGATTTTGAATAGGACTGAGTGCTATTGTGAAACAAACAAACCTTGGCTACCTGCGAGAGGACCGGCTCGGCTGTCGACTGCGTCGTCGAGTGAACGATGGTGAACCTTCATTATTCGATTCAGTACTCGATTCAACTCCACGTGAGAAAACATCTGCAATTGAAATCAAAATTCAGCAAGGAAAACTAAAGAAGGAACGGCATGAGAATTCATACTGAAGAAAAACTATTCCTTGATTCAATAGACAAATAAACGAAAATCATCCAATTTTGAGTAACAACATTTAATCACTACGAAAAATAATTTGTTGATCTCCCATCTGTTGGATTATTTGATTTTGAAAACGAACCGACACAGAACGTGCCGGAGAATTAATTGAAACATAAATAATAATATTACAGTGAGAAATATGACGAAGCTTTATTTGTTGCAAATTCCTTTAGCTACAAAAAAATTTCACGTCACATTTCTGTTTAAAAGGTATCAGGCAGGTTCGATGCCTTTCTCCATTTTAGCACATTTGATTGGTCAATTCATATTGGCGTTTATTTTCAGTAATTTCAATGACCTCACCTCTGCAAGGTTTTACAGGAATTCGGTAACTTGGCCCAGCGCACTCGCCACAAGGACTCCCAGACGTGTCGCTGCCAGACCCCGGTCGACTTGATCTTATTTTTCCCTCTGCTTCCGCGATGCTCGGAAAATAACGCTGTTTATGCCACCTTGGCGTTTTAGACCTGTGTGTACAGGACAGAACGAGAAAAAAAGGACATGGGGTGGATGACGATGCGAATCTCTCATGGAATTGAACAAACCGTCTCTAGAGGAATTGTTTTGTTAAGAAAAATCATGTTCTCGCTTGACATACCTTTCGAAGTCTACACTGGATTGTTCATAGTCAATTGTATTAATGTCTTCATTCTCTAAATGACCGAATGTCTTGAATTGCATTGTGTAGTCCAATGTAGCTGTTGTTACTGAACGATTCTCTCGTCCAGGAACACTGAATGTTGCATACGGACTGATTTCATACATTTCTGTAAAGTAAGATTGCACGATAATGACAGTTTTAGATGATGAAATAGTATATCATGTTACAAGTGTGAAAGAGGGAGAATGTTAGTATGAGTGGAGTAATGTTGTCAGGAACAGTCGCAGGACACGCGAGTCCCCGGCTCGGCTAGTTGCGTCTCGCCTTGGCTTGTCGAGTCTATGGGTGACTGCCCATGGAACAGAATTCACACGGAGGTGTATCCGTCTAACGAATTAGATCGCAAGATTTTCCCGCCATTTTTTTTGCTCGATTCAGATAGATGTACGTGAATGCGTCTTCGTATAGATTCTGTTCCACGGGCCGTTATCCTATCGCTAAGCTGCGGGTGTCCTATGACTGTCCCTAAAAATATTAATACACGAGTTTAAGGTTCTCCCTTTTTCATACGCGTAACGTACACTAGTTTTTGAAATTAGTGTTTGAAAAAGTCATACATAATTTTTTTTTTACTTAACGGAAACTACTTTAGAACAGAAAAATCCTACCAAACCCTGTTGGTGTGAAAAGTGAGGAGGAGCGGGCAAATGTGCTTATGTAGGCTATTTATGCCGTCAAGACAATTCAATTGAATTTTTTAGTCAATTCGCAGGATTTTTCCATGTAATTTATTCGTACGTGCAAGTACGGAGTACACGTATTTAGCCCGTAAGATACTCAGATTATTAACAATTAGAAGCAGAGGACTCGAACGTGTTATGGCTACCGTATAGCTGATGCAATTCAGTTTAGATGACTGGACTGATAGTACGATACTACGTGCTACACACGTAGTTACAGAAATAACGACACCGGATTGATCGAAAATGTAACAATGACGGCATCTTTCAAACATTATCATAAGAATGAAGCCAAGTTGTAAATTCAGCCGATAAATTCAGCTGTTGTAAACGAAAAGTGAATCCGGTAAACAAAAAGTTACTTTTTGTTTACAATCGTAAAAGTTACGAAAAGTGAGACTTGATGCACAAAAATCTGTAAACGAAAAGGGTCTTTTCTAAACACGTGTTTTAAAATAGCATATTTCGATGTGGGTGAGACGGAATTTTTACGATTGGGAAGTTGGCAGCCCGAGGCGAAACGGAGGACTGGAAAAAGACATGAGCTGAAAATTTCCATCTGACATGTGTCCGAGTAGCCGAACTACGCCTTTTTCCCTTACAAGTAAACGAAAAGACTTTTCGTTTACTTTTCTTTTAGGAGTAAACGGAAAGGCACTTTTCGGCATGAGGTAAACGTAATAGCAGAGTCAAACAAGGAACTTAAAGAGAATTTCCCAGTAGACGGTAAGATCTTGAGAAATGTATCTCTTCTCGCCAAAATAAAAAAGGATTAAAATCGATTCCATGCATCCACTCAAAAAAAAAATTATCATTCTTATTACCTGAACCATGATCATTAGATTTATGATTATCCTGCTTGACCGGTGAGCTCGTATAAACCTGATGATTCCTCCTGTTATCCCTTTCCACCGTTTTCAACTGCACCGTGGACATGCAACTGTTCGTATGATGATGATTCTGATGTTGTTGCTGACCAATCCCTAAACCCCCTGGTGGTCTCTGCTGACCGGGTAATATTTCCCCTATATAACTTGACCTGCCCGTCCTTTTCAGCATGACATATCCAAGAGTAACAGCCGATATAATGAGTACAGTAGCGCAGACAAGTAGAACAGCCACGTACAGCACTTTGTGATTTTGCGGAGTCCTATCCAATTCATCATCCATAATCAAATCATTTGGTGGAGAAATGCTAATTCCACTCAATGTTGTTGTCGCAAATTCCATCTGCGCTTGAGTCTTTCCAGCGTCGTTGTGGGCAGTTAATCGTAATGTGTACCAGGCAGCTGGTTTCAGATCTCTTATTATCTGGAATATAAGACTTATCGTATGTAATTAACTTATGAAGGTGTGGAAGATAACAAAAAACGAAAATTTGATGGTGTTATTGAAATAGGACATTATGTCATCAGGCGATAAAGTACCATCTGACGACCGTGACTTTATGGATTCATGGCGTCTTCCTTCTATCCACTAATTCTATGAACTTTTGGCAGGATGATCACGAGGTGGAACCCTCCTAAGAAAGTAAAATTTACAGGTAATACTAATAATAATTTATTTCCTGAAGAACAAAAATTTCTTTTTATGTACATTTTTGGTGTCATTGCTCACTAGAAAACATAATTATTCCACTATTCCCCCCATGTTATTATGATCGACTGAAACTAGAGTTAATGAAAACAAAATTTCAGTTCATCACATCATCCAGGTTGACTGAATGTCACTCTGACTGTCTTTTCATGCCAGTAATTCGTCACGTTGGTGGGTCTCCTCCCCTGTGGTCTGCTGGCAGCTTCTCGAAGTCTCTGATGTATAGACATAGCTCCATTTTTGGGTAGCCTATAAGCCACGATGGTAGTTCCACTTCCCAATAGTCAGTAAGGTCGTGCCGTACCTCAAAGCGTTCCAGGGCTTCTGCAACCTCCCTGCGAACCTTCGATCGCCCCTCTACCTACATCAGTATGTGTTCCATCGTCTCGTTTGCCACTCCGCATGTTCTGCACCTCAGGTCTTTATGGCCTTTATGCAGGCTTTTTCCAACGCTCCCACATCTCATCTTTGCCCACTGCTCCTTTATTGTTCCTGATAACTTCCTGCTTCTCCAAAATTTTTCTTCTTCCGGGGTGTGCTTCCAGCTCTGATATTGGAGGCAGCGACCTTCTCCCAGCTTCTCTGTATATGCTGATCAGCCAGTATTTTTTCATCTTCTTCCACCTATTTCCTCAGATTGTTCCAGCCTTCCTCTCCCTCTCTCTCTCTATCTCTCCGGGATTCCTCAGCATTTCCCGGGCTTGATTTATCGTGCCACCATCACCTGCTTTGCCAAATGCGCTTTCCAATGTTTTCCCCTATCTGTCCGGGTGTTTGTTGATAATTCCTCTGAAGATTTCTTTCAGGCACCTTCTTGGCCACCGGTCTTCCTTCATTTTGATGATTTCCAGCATGTACCCTCCGGCCGTTTCGAACAATTCTACTTCTAAGCTTTTTCTTCCAGCTTCTAGTTTCCAGATATAATCTGGGGTATTAGGACTGAGCCCCATGGCCATCTTAACGAACCTCGACTATAATTTTTCGATTGTCTCGTGTCTCTTCCAGCCCCACACTTCAATCCCGTATAAGCAGGCTGATTTGGCCAGGGTGTCGTACAGGTACAGCCTCCCCTTCAGCGTGTCCATTCCGGCTACATGGAGGTGTAGTGGTGGTTCCCGTCACGTGGGACGTGAATTGACGGAAATTGATGGGATGTGATTAGTAAGTTTTCTTTTTTTTTTTTATTCCTCAGTCGGTAAGAGTGCCCGGCGCGTAACTGGGAGACCCGGGTTCGAATCCCGGCTGGGCGAATCGGAATTCTTTCTCTCTAAATTTCAATTCTATTTGAATTTTTTTTTGTGTCCATGTGTCCAGAAGCCTAGGTACTTCAAGGAGTTAACAATCTCCACTTCCTTGCCATTTATATGCCACTGTTCCTCTGGTTTGCATTTCCCTCCTTTCCTGAACATCATGATCTTTGTCTTGGTGACATTGATCTCCATTTTGTTCTTCCTCGCGTATTTTTCCGTTCCTGTAATCATTCCAGCCAGTTCCTGCGTGTTCTCCGCTACCAGCGCTATATCGTCTGCGTATTTTAGTGCGAATATTTTGGTTTTTCCAATCACTTTCCAGGTTCTAAACTTTTTAGAGATTCCTCCTCCCGTGATGATGTCATTCCAGGTCTCATCATAGATTCCTTTAATTAGTTGTAATATTTTCCCCTTAATTCTAATGTTTTCCAATTTTTCCATGAGTTTCTCCCTGTCTACTAGGTCGAAGGCAGCCCTGAAGTCTATGAAGCAGATGTACAGCTTCGCTCCTTTTTTCTTGAGTCTATTTTCAATTAATGCATTCAGCACAAAAATAAGGTCTCTTATTCCTCTCTTTGGGCGAAAGCCTGCCTGGCTCTCTCTGAGTTTGTTTTCCTTCTCCAGCCAGGAGGTTATTCTCGAGGTGATTATCTGTTAGAACCTTGTAGCCTAGGTCCAGCAGTAAAATTCCTCGATAATTTTTTACCTGATCCTCGTCTCCAGCTTTGTGTATCGGGTAAATTCTTCCGGTTTTCCAGCCGACAGGGATATTTCCTTCTTCCCAGCATATTCTAATTATCGTAAGCAGCTCGCTCTTCATTTTGTCTGGTAAGGCCTTCAGAAAGTCTCCTCTTATGCCGTCCTCCCCCAGGGCTTTGCCGTTGCGTAACTTACGGAGGGCATTTTTTAATTCCTCTTCCGAAATTTCCTGATTCAACACATGAAGTTCCTCCGGGTCGTCCTGGGGAGTGTTTCTCCGGTTGTGGAGGTGGTCTCGTACTCCAGTTGTAGCCGGTTTTGACTCTGCACCCAGGAGCGACTTGAAGTGTTGCACCCAATCTTCCTCCGTTATTTCTGCCCCTGGGGCCTTCCTGTTTATTGGTCTGACTTTATTAATTGCCTTCCAGCATTCTGACATATTCCTGCTGAGACGTACCTCGTTTTTTATTTGTTCTACCCAAAGCTGCCTTTTTGCTGCGTAGGTTTCCTGCCTTCTTTTTCTTGCCTCTACATATCTTCTTTTTTATACTTCGTTCCTTTCTTTTAGGTGTATCTTCAGTGCTTTCCACATTTCTCTCTTGGCCGTGTGGCATTCCTCGTCATACCACGTCCGTGGTTTTCCTCTGCTGTTTGCCTCTTTCACCATACCTTGCTCCGTAGCAGCCTGCCACATTGTCTCTTCCAGGGCTTTCCAAAGTGATTCCGGACCGTCTCCGTGTTCTTTATTGTCCCATTTTTCCAGCGTTGTCTTCTGGTATTCTTCCCACTTTTCCTCTTTCTATATTTGCTTTTCGTGTTGTTGGGCTTTTGAGTTAGATCTATTATCTACTACTTTGAAACTATTTCCAGTCGACGTCGGAGTGAACAACTGAAGAGTTATCGCCATGTGATTCGAATTCAGACGTGGAACGACCTTCATCTCACTTATTATTTCGTTGACTTCCGGTCTGTTTATTAAAACCAGGTCAATTACTGATTGAGTTCCATTCTTTCCGATGTGTGTGATCCTACCTTCTCTGTCTTCCTTGACGCATTCGTTGACCACCATCATACCGAAATTGTCGCATAGTGTCACCAGCTTTTTCCCCTCTGGATCCAGCTTTTTATCCTGTGAGTTTCTTGCTAGGTGGTATCGCTCCAGCTCATCCTCATCCATTCTATTTTGTTCCCCCGTTCGGGCGTTTCATTCTCCTACGACTAAAATGGCCTCCCCTCTATTGGTGGACGGTTCCAGGTGTGGGTTGATGTCTCTGATCACCTGAGAGACTCCTACGTTATTGTAGACTGTTATTATTTTCAGCGGCACATCGTGTTCCAGTTTCAGCCCCTCGATCACTAGGCCATGTCTCCACAGTTCCTATTTCCAGTCCAGCTTGAGTTTTTTTCTGATTCCAGCTAGTGTTCCTCCTGCTGCCCTACCTTTCTTTTTTACTTTTAATGCCGAGTTTGCTTTCCAGATGAAATTTTTGTTCAGTTTGCTGATTTCCTCCGTCTCTCTTCTCTGATCCCACCAGGTCTCTTGTATTATGATGACATCGAATTCTTTCAGGAATTTCCATGAGTTTTTTATTTTCCTGCCACCTGCCGCGTTCCAGATTACCATTCTTATACCTTCAAATCCGCTGTCTCATTTTCCCGCCGGTTGTGGTACTTGCTCATCTAGTCTGCTCTTCTCTGAGACCTCCGGTTCTGTTCATCCAGTATTACTATGTCCCATTTATTTTTATTTTTAGGTGACCCAGAAGTTCTCTGTCCCCCATGTGTTCCTGCTCTCTCTTCAGCGTTTCCAACCAGTTCTGGACCTCTCGCTCCCTGTACGTGAGATCGTCTTCGAATTGGTAGCCCATCCCGCCCCATCTCCCACTGAGTTTCATTATGTGGACTTTGTCCTTCATATTTTTCAACTCAACGCGGATCCCATGGCCATATTTGGTTACTTCCTGAATTGGGGCCACTATTCTTGCCTCTCTCCATAGGAGCTTCTGAAGTTCGGCTTTGGCCTCTCTCCCTGTAGTTGCAAGTCCTACCACATATATATTTCTTTTCCGTGCATTTCTTTTCTCCACTTCCTTCTCTCAGCTTTCCTCTCCGAGTGCTTCTGGGGCTGGGATTAAGCTGTATGGGTGGGCGTTCCGTGGGGGAATCCTGCGACGTGGGGATTCGTTTCTCCGGCCCCTATTCCACACTCTTGGATTCTCCTGGGGTAGAACTTCCACCCGATTTGTGTTTACAAAGTCTTGTGAAGGACCTGTGCCTACAGGGTCTTGGTATTCCTGGGCATCTCCGCCCGCTCCCCTTCTCCAGCGGTTATCCTCTGTCCTGTGGTCCCCTTCCCTCGCTCTTACAGCTTCCAGCTGGATTTCTCGGTCCTCGTCACGCGCCCGGTATCTTTTGAGTTCTTCTTCTGTAATAGCTCTGGCTTTAGCGTGTTCCTCAATCATTGCTGTCAGTCTCTCTTTTTCCATCTTCCAGTTCCAGGTTTCATCTTTTCTCGCTTTCACCTCCTATAGGGCTAGCCCCTTCCAGGTATTGGCTTCCGTTCGCCACTCCTCTGATTCCGCTGCTCCTCTTCTTCGAAGCCCTGCCAGTTCATTTTCCAGCCGGCCTCTGTCTGCTCTAAGGTCCAGTAGCGCCGTTGTTCTATCCAGGATCCTTTCCAGAGATCTACGGTTATTTTTTCCCTCTCTAGCTAGCTCGACTTGATCTCCCAGGTTTTTTTGCACATTCGCGTTGGTTTCGTGAATT